GAACAGTTTTCCAAGAGCATATTTTCGCGCCAGATAGAGGCTGATATGTTTATTATCCTTTAAGTATCTTTTCACAGCACACGCCAGTTTGAAAATTGGAGAATTTCACTCACATCCTCCAGTTTTAACTGGGGCATATTCAGTCACACGATCCGTTTAGCACAGTCGGACACGAGTGGAAATATTTGATGGATTACAGTGGAACCTCAATTTAACGAAGTCGCTGGGGACCGGCCAAATTTGTTCGTTAAATCGAGGGTTCGTTATATCGAAAACCTCGATATACCGAATTTGAGGGGAAACGACCAAAATGTTCGTTATATCGAGGTCATAGTTAATGATTGATTTAAAACACAGGCGACTTCTGTCACGCAATTCAATGCAATTTTCGTCACTCAGAAGAGCCGCGTTTTGAGATGCAATTCATTAAGCATGGTGGCTTTCAGTATCATGATCAGTTATTTTCACTTTTGAGCAGACGCGCAGCTTTTGTTTACAAAAGAACAACACTTTCAGAGTAGGGATTTAAAAATGTTGCTACATAGACATTATACTGAAAATTGTCTTTGTAAACAAGGAAACGGGCTTTAGTGTTGTTATGTTGCACTACCCAACATTTCCGGATTTCAAAGATGATAGAGCAGAGGTTAATTGATGTCGAAATACTATGGTGCCAATGTCTATGACATATAATAAGCCGTTGACTGAAGGTTTGCCGTAAGGTTACAAGGATTTGTTGACTTTTGATCTGTTCAGCGTTTATCTTCTGTCGCGTGTTGACACTGTAATTCGTTATATCGAGGTAGATTTTACGTTTGGGCTTCCGGATTATGTTCGTTATATCGAAGAATTCGTTATATCGNTTATATCGAAGAATTCGTTATATCGAAGTTCGTAATATCGAGGTTCTATTCCATACATTTTACTGTAACTTTGGCCGGGACAGAGAATATCGTTCGTTATATCGAGGACTTCGTTAAATAGAGGTTCGTTAAATCGAGGTTCCAATGTATAAGGATTTTTATTCACACTGGTGTTATTTCATCAGCAATTCAAAACTGTAATTCCTTTTTACCTCATTAAAGTTGAACAAGTTTCATTTACCCATTAAAGTTTGAATTATTTGTTAATAGCAATTTATGAAACAACCTGAACCTCTGAACAGCATGTTGATTGAAGTCAAGCAGGAGAATTGGAAACGTATTCGTAGCACCTTGACACCAGCTTTCAGCGCTCTGAAAATGAAACAGATGGTGCCATTGATGAATGCATGCAGTGATAATTTGATCAAGAAACTTGCTGAAGTAGCTGACAAGGAAGAAAGTGTTAACATCAAAACGTAAGTGTTAAGCACCTCTCTGATTACCACTTGCTTGTAGTCTCCAAATGCAATGTATGGGTATATAGCTAAGTGCTTTGGAATCCAGATCGGGCAAGCCTAATAAAACACAACCGCCATGTTTTAATCAACAACTTCGGTTCACATGTGGTTCCTGGATGTAGGCTAGTTCCC